TTAATTAATAATAATATATATATATATATATATATATATATATATAATATATATATAATTTACATATAATTTTATATAGGAACATTCATTTCATTAACGCATCCTTGCAACAAATATATTCACGTCAAATTTCTTTGTAAGATAAAAACTTTACAAATTTAAGAACATACGTGCGATATTAGTATTTTTAAATTTCTAACATTAATTACATTATATAGATATATTGAGTCAAATTAGTAAATTATATTATGACGCGAAATATTTTTCTATATTTTTAATAATGACGTGATTTTGATAAAAATGTCCATGTTTCAATCGGGCAGTTAATTTTTCAGCAAAATATAATAATTGAGTATAATTTTGTTAAATTATATTTCTGAAAAGTTAATAACTATTTCCAATAAAAAATATTTATATGTGAGTTAATATTGATGAAAAAAATATATATAAACATAATGTAAATTTATTATTATAAAATTTCAATAGTATCTTTCAAATGTGCAATTTTTCTGTTTAATTACCCAAGCCTAATAGCCAAGATCTGCAAAGATAGATTTTGATCAGATTATGCTATCAATTTTTGATGGCAGAAAGGCAGCAAGTTTCAAATCTATAATATCTGACTGATATCGACAAATTATTGTCAGAAATATGACAAAATCTGCTAAACATACTGTGCCAATAGATTGACAATAGAAATCGGGCATGTACACAGAACTTATTTGATTTTTTATCGCCAATCTGATATCTGAGTATGTTCTACAAGTTTTGTCAAAACTAAGTTGAATGCGGACACAATTGATGTCAGTATACGCTCTGATCGAATCTGCTAACAGTCTGTCGATTTATACTAATATTTTACTTGGCTGGATATTTAATATTATACTAGATATCTTGTTCATATCTGCATCTTCTAATAATTCTAAAAGTAATTTTAAAAATAATTCCCATTATAAATATCGCTTTATTTAAGTATTAAAAAGAAACTTAAAAACATGCATTTCAAATTTTCCGCATAAATAATAATTAATTAATTAATAATAATTAATAACCCGCAGTTTACAAAACATTGATTATTAGTAAGCTTTTACTTTTTTCAACTTAGTCATGACGAGATGGTTCTCCTTGTCTTCTTTCTTCTTCTGGTATTTCTTCTTCTTCATCTTGATCCTCATTATCAGTTCGTTCTCCTTCTTCGGGCGGTCTCGTCCACCTAGCGAAACCATTTTTTGTATTGAAAGATTGTATTGAATTTTCTTTTTATGTTTCATGTTTCGTATTTGTTATTTGTTATTTCATGTTGTTTCATGTCTGCATCGTGTGTATACATGTATGTGCGTGTGTGTCTTATTCAGATTTGAGAATAATATAATCAAATCAATATAATTCGGAAGCGGGAATAACTGAAAATAAAATCAAGTCTTAATTGATTGTTAATCATTGACTGTCATTTGCTACTAATCTGTAATAGAGCTTTTTATATTAAGATTTTTTTGTTATGCATTCTAGTTCAATCATATTTGCATGTATATGTAATCAAAATTGAAACAGAATTTTAATATATAACATTAAAATTTGAGAATAGTATGGGACGAAATCTAACCTGATTAGTGTTTCTGGTGATCTGTAGAGGAAGATCAATTTGGCAAACAAGTCTTCTTCAAGACATAAATCGCCGCTTTCGCGTACCAAGTAAATGTCTAAACAAAGACGAAGGATTCTGTCGACATAGGGTAAATCATCGAACATAATCTTGGGCGCCATATCGCTGACAACTTTTCGCATCAATTGACTTATGACTATCACCGCTGTAGTATATAATCCTAGGATCCTGTGTGTAGTTATGCGATTTTTCAAGTCAATAAATTATAATAACAATTTTTTAAATAATAAAATAAAATTATTGTAATTTTTTGTAAAATTTTGTCATGGAAATGTGTTCATGAAAACACAAATTATCTTACTAATTTACAGACATTTAAATTTACCCGAATCCACTGATGAAGCTTAAACTCTCGGGAAAAGCCTTGTCGTTGAATAGGAACATCATGATGTACTTGCAATCGTTTAGTGGTATGTTATTAAAAAAGTCGTCCGAGGAATTTGAGCATACTTCACGGATCATCCACCATTGTTGATGAGCGCAACATTTTTCATCCGTTGATAATTGAACACTCACACTTCTGTAGAGATAGCTCTTATCCTCGCCAGGTTCATGATTTACTAGAAATATTATAAATAACGTTCTTAATCTAGTTCTTAAAATTTTGCATCAATAACGATTCCATTATGCTTACATAATGGTCGCATTAATTGTGGAACGACATCGGTGGTTCTAGCGGTGACTTTGAGAAATTTCGGAAAAGCGCTTTGCAACACTGTTGCATTCGTTGCATTGGAATTCTCCTTTAATATGTCCAGTAATGCTTGTCTTGTAGGGTTGAATTCTCCATCTACATACGGAGGCAAATTTATATCATGAACTGTCGTAGTAATTCCACTGGCATCTTTGGCGTCTGTTTTTCTTGAAACCGTCCATTCTACATATGCAACTATTTTTGTGGTATTAGAAGACAATTCTTCTTTTAATCTGGAAAAGTTGATAAATATCTTTCTTTAAAATATTTTTATAACACAAATCTATCATTATCGGCATTAATTCCTCGTTCAAAGAATTTCTTTTATTAGTTAAAGTTAATTTTATTATAGTACATTAATTTGTATTTGAAATAAACTATAGATATAATTTTATAGATATAATTTTTCTTTCATATAAAACAAACCTTTCTTTATCAGGTGGGGAAATATTCCAAAATTTTGCTGAGGAAGTACTGAATCTTACTGCAGCAACATCCGAATGGACGTAATTTTCGAAGAAAGTAACAGCCGACTTATCCTTTCCATATAAAGTTGTAGTAAGATATCTGTATTGAGCTTCCGTATATGGGATGATAGAATTGCTCTGTGCTGACATAGAATAGATGGGGTCGTATGGACCAATTCGTATTTTCATAGATACGTCGTATGGCAAATTCGATATACCGACAGTATTACCAAGAGCAAATAAGAGTAAAGGGAACCAAATTAAGCCAATTATGAGCAGAAGAATGCTTCCGCCCATCAAGTACTTGCCCATTTGCTTTCTTTTTACCCCCCGTGGCTGAGGGAAATCTGATTCGACTCCTCGCATACACTGAAATTTTATGAAATATATTAAAATTTTTACATATTATATATTTGGTAATATGTAATATCTTAATACTTCAGGAAAATTAATTGTGTATTTTCTCATATATGTATTGTATGAAAATTTTAAGTAAATATTTTTGAAATAAGATGAATAAAAAATAGCGCCTATACAAAAGTATATTATAACTTTTCATAAAACTTACTTTAATTTGATAAATACTAGCAAAAACATCTTCCATTTTGAACCAATCCATTATACCCATGGATGTATCAGTCCAAATCCAATCCATCACTGCTCGAAGTTCAAAAAGGAATGGAACTAACATAAATCTACAAAATAATTGTACGGTCAATATAAAAATAATAAAAATATTTTTTTGTAGTAGATATTTTACTAACCCTTTGAATAAGCAATAATTCACGATATTGTACTTTTTGCATAAAAAGTTACCCAATATTCGAGTCGGATATCCCTGTCGCAGTTGATAAGCTGCTAACAAAAGATAGAAGCACTTCACCATGTACCAGATTTGTGGCGGAAGATTATCGTTGAATTGTCTAAAATCATGAATACGTTGTACAACATATAAGCATTAAAACAATTTATATAATATCTTACCTATCTGTCACACTCGGTAAAATGAAAAACATCCATAGATGAATACCAAACACTAAGCAATATTGAAAAATCAACTTTCCGACAATAGATTTTTTGAGGAAAAGAGCTCTATCAATAACAATTAAAGCAAACTGTAATAATAACATTAATAGAAAAGGCATAGGAACTCGATTTTCTTGAAGGTAAGCCGTTACTCCGCCGTCGCCTTGTTGAGTCTAAAATTAATATGACATTAATATGTATGTACATATTAATATAATTATTTATATAAATATTAATAATTTTGTAAAACCATGTACTTACTCCAAATGCTGAAAATCCAAAAATGAGCAGAAGGAAATTGAAAAAATCACAAAGGAACATGTAAGCATAAACATTTGTTTTTTCTTTGCCGACTGGATCAATAATCCTCTTAAAGAAACTCTTCATTGGTTCCCCATATTTAGTGACACTGCAAAATTACAAAAAATATATATATATAAAATAGTAATATATTCATTTCTGCTCCTTTTGTTCATTTAAAAAAATATATAATGTACGTATTACGCACGTTTGTGTCCTCTAATCTTTTAAAGAAACTTTCTATACTTATACTTATTTCTTTTGATTTATTATAGATAAAACAAAATTTTTTAAAATTATTACATAACAACCTTTTCCTTAAATAAAAAATGCTTAAATAAAATTGTTACTTACGCCGTATTCATTGTTTTTGAAAATTTATTGTGAGGATGCCCTGGAGAAATCTCTGTTTCTTGAATAACCACGAGCTTCTCGTTTTCATCTGTCGTAGGTGGAACATTATTTATCTCACCCGAAACGCTTGCAGATTGTTCTTGAGATGTTTTTGTCTCTACTTGAGAACTGCAACATATTAAAATGTATTAGCATCACAAAATTTGTAATGTTGTAAACGTTAAATATTTTTTTTAGTAACATACTCGCTTTCTTCTTGAACAGATTCTTCTTGTCCTTTGTCTGACGATGAGGGCTTCGACGGAAGTACAGTTAATTGGGAAGGAGTAATCTTTCGTGGTTTTAAAGATGTAGTTGTCCATTGACCCAAAGATTTTAACATAAATCTATAAGTCAGTTATGCAGCATTATTTTTTATAAATAATTTTTGCGTGCATTTTTATTATTAAGTTATTTAATTTATACCTATGGAAGAATAACATAAGAAGCAATAATAAATCCCATAGAGCATAATTGGTTCTTTTTAGAACACCAAGAATCCTCGGCCAGTATAATGGATGATTTATTGGAGCTTTCTGATTCCAAGGGAGCGATTCGAATTGACAGATACATTTTATTATGACAATGGCCTGAAAATCGCGATTTTTACATCTTTTATTCTATTTAGATATTTAAATACATATTATATAAAATGTTTCTTACTTCAATATATGCGATCAATGTCACCCAGAAGGTTTTGGAGGGTCGTGGAATTGTTAAAGAACCCCATAAGAACACCATAAGTGGTAATGGTGTCGAGAGTACAGATGCGTTTTTAATTTGATGAAGAAATACCATAAAATAACAAAGCAAACTGGAATGCGCCAAGATTCCAAACCAGATAGATGCTGCCAGTTGTATAATAGGCGGTTGATCTACTTCTGAAAGTTCCCCAATTTCTTCATCTTGTTGGACTGGTACAGCTTGCGAGAAAAGTGTGCTGTATGTAAAATTTTCAAGTTAATTATATTTTATAATTGGAATAAAGTATTCAACATAAATTTGTATAGAAGAAAGATGATCTGTTACATATATGTAATAAACAAAAATTATTTAAAATATAGAAAATTTTTAATGCATATAAATAAAATAAAACGAATATAAATATATAAAATTGTTATTTAAATAAAAATTTTATAAAAATTATTGTAGAGAAGTAATTTTGTATTGTTTTTTATAATAATTTTAGAAGTGAAGAGTATAAAAGAAAAGTATAAAAAGATCAGAGATACATCTTTCTTCTGAAAGAGATTCATATCGAAAGCACATTCAAAGCCCAATTCAGGAACCGTGAAGTCACACCTGAAAATGGAGTTGAAGACATTCGAAGACATTAATGTGTTAGCCATAGTGGACGTCGTTTTATTTTCGTCATTCACTGTGCTCGTGATAATAAAAAAAAAAGAAATAGAAAATTATTTATCACAAGTCAATTTTTTTTGGCTATTGCTCTTGTCGTGTCAGCGATCCTTTTGCGCCACAAAAACAAAATAGAAAGTGGCAAGAAATTAAATGTAAAAGGATCTTAACTGACGTGCCGCATGCGAAGAAAGGCGTGCGAATAGTGCATTTTATAAAATAGTACGAAGGCCGAGCACACTGAGACGCCTGGATTTCACGACACATTTTCGGTACCTGGAGGAGGACATGTCCAATCCTCGCTCCAAACTTGGGGCCAGAATTCGGATGTGCGGCACTGCCAGAGAGCTCCTCTTCCTGACACAAACAACACCACACTCTTTCTACGTTTACTTCATACAAAGAGTTTCGAAGGTAAAAAATTTTAATTAAAATCTTAAATTATATTATTATCTCTAAGTTATATTATTAATTTTGCCAATTGTTAGAAAAAGATAATGTCAAATGTTAAG